TCAGCTCTGTTCTCTGTGCCTCGACGAGACAGGCTCCTGCAGGAGCCACATCCAGGGACCACGGTCGCCCTGTTTTCTTTCCAGCAAGTTTCGGTTCTAAGTTGATTTGTTTTTCCCATTAAAAAACCATCCATGCTTATTTTTTCGCTTCTAATGAAAATTGTTTTTATTTTTTCTTAATCTCAAAAGCCAGGCATGAACACAGAACAACAACAACAACCATATATATATCTATATATAGATATACACATATCTCCAAGCCTGATGGTTGGTTCTCAGCCCCTATCTTACCGCATCTCTCACGCCCTCCTTGGCCCGTTTGTGGAAGACAGAGGAGGCTGGGTGGTGGGAGCAGCAGGTCGCTGGATGGGGTCAGAGGTGCCAGCAGGAGTCACTCGTCTAAGAGGTTGTGGTTCATTCCAAATGTAATCACTTGATTTATTTCTTTAAAGTCTATCTTCCCTGCTCCACGAGGCCAAGGACAGAGCCGTCCACACCCTTCGCTCAGGGCCTGGTGCACAGTTGAGTCCACTAATTCACCCCTGACCGCCCCCATGCTGTGGGCTCCGCATCCTGCAAGCACCGAGCTCCCCTTCTAACAAGTACTCGGCGCAGGCACCGCCCACCGTGCTGACTCCTTCCATCAGAAAACTTGCTCACAGGTTTCATTACTGTAATTCCCCCCAAAGCAGTAAACGTTCACTGCAAAAAAATAAAAAGAGGCTCCAATATATTGTTTACTATAGAGTAAAAAAGAAAATAGGCCCACCAGTCCTATTTCCCAGACAACACACCTCAACATTATGGTGCTCATCATTCTAGACCCCTTTCTCCAGACAGTCAGTCAGTCAGTCCGTCTGCAGGTGTTTCCTGAGCATCTAGTCTGTGCCACGCACTGTATCAGGAGTAGTGAACAAAACAGACAAACTTCTTGGAAGGGAGGTTTACTCAAACAATAAACACGTATGTAATATATGTATTGTGTGTATAGATTTTTCTTATTTACTTATTTTTTCTTATTTACTTATTTTTTCTTATTTACAGTGGGATACTGTAAATATTCTTTAATAGTCATCCAGTTTAGAAAATCTGAAAAATCCTCAAAATAGAAGGAAAAACAAGGAGAAACCCATCAGCTTTAGATTCATGATCCAAGGAGAGTTGTGTTTTATAGCTTTGTATAATACCTTGCAGCTGTTTATTTATATACAGTTTTATTTTATTTTACGAAGTCATGAGCATACTGAAAGCATAGTGTTTCCTTCTTTTTTATTGCACAAGTAATGCAAACAGAAAACATAAAAACAAAATCCCTTATAAATATACTACTCACAATTAATCACTGCTAATCTTTAATATCATATATCATTTTTTTCAAAACTAAGTTTGGGATCATGCTGAAAATGTCACTCAATAACTGACTGTGAATTCCTAATGTATCTCGGCGTCGATGACTGTAATTCTACACCGTCATATTTGGGGCTGTAGACTGGTCATCTTGTGGGTTCAACATCATGGAATCAACCAGTCTCCTATTCCTGGACATTAGGATAGTTCCACTTTTTTATTTTTACCAGAACCGAACGAATGAAGCAAGATGTTTGCACGTAGCCTTAGCTATCTGAGTAGGATTTTACATGGTTTTTATCTGCTCATTTTAACTATATCAAAATGTTGATCTCAGTTGCCTTGGATGGTAGTCTGTGATCATTATTTTGTTTGCTCTAAATCCTTTGCAATGAACAGGTTTTATTTGCATAATCACAACATCATTTGAAATTATGTCATGCAGAACTTTCCAGATTACCACAGTTTCCATTAGGATCTCTCTTCATGGCTACCTGTAATTCCATCCGGGGGTGGGCCACAGTTCACCAAACCATTCCTATCATTGATCTTTGGGCTTTTCCCCCACTTTTTCAAGATTGTTGTTCAGGGACCCCCTGCCAAACTGCTTCCCCAAAAGGATGCTGCAGTCCCCACTCCCACCAGCAGCGTGTGAGAATGCCCACCCAGCGCCCTCCTCCCGGAGACAGACGGGCCCGGGCCCTGGACAGCCGCGCTCTCTGCCAGGAGGGCGGGGGGAGCAGGACGTGGTTTTGTGGGCAGTGCCAGGATGCTGACCCCAGGCCCAGAACCGCAGGAGTGAGTTTTAACAAGCCCGGTTCCTGGCACAGAACCTTCAGAGCGAAAGCAAGGCAGGCAAGCAGGAGAAAACTCTCTGCTGGAAAAAACACACACATACACAGATTAAAATAGTATTTGGCACCTACGTCGCACTTTTAAAATTCTTCAAACACCTTATAAACACTAGCTAATTAATTAAGCCGCCTAAATCTGGCTGCAGTTGGTGGAGAGAACTTAAAAGGGGCTGGGGGGTGGGGGCTGGGCAGCCCTACACAGCTCCAGATTTGATGGTCGCCCGCCTGGGTGCCGGCCTCCGGCCTCCGGCAGCACCGTGAGAACAGACCTGCTCTGACACGCCGCAGCCCGGTTCTGCAGCCTCTGGTGCTCACGCTGCTCCCCGCACAACTGCTGACTCACAGCCCGGTGTGCTGTTGTTGATAAAGATAATAATAACTGCCGTGTGTCGCAGGCATCTTCTGTGGGCCAGGCGCCGTCCCAGGCTCCAGGCTTGCTGTCTCCTGGGTGTGCCTGTGGCAGCTCCATTAACAGACAAAGATACAGGCTCAGAGAGGGGATGTGCCCGGGAGCGAGAAAATCCCCCTTCGTTCGTTCATGCGTGCATTCAACATGCGTTATTGAGGGCCTGGTGTGTGCCGGACACTGCTGTACACAGGGGGTTGGAAAGAGACCCTTGTGGATCCTACGTCTTGCTTGGGGGCACAGGACAACCCAGAGAAAATCAAGTATGTAAATAATATATCTGTGATTATAATGGGAACACAAACTAAAATTTAACCAGGCCCTCTGCCCGGGCACCTGGATCCAACTGTCATGGTCCTCCTAATTATCGTGAGGGTGGGTGGCCGACCGCCCCCACTTTATGGAAGGTGGAGCGTGGCCCAGGGAGGGCGGTGCTGAGCTGACTAAGCCCCCCCCCCCCCTTCCACCAGGCGTGCTGGGCCCAGCCTGTGCTGCCTCCAGGTGGCTTCCCCGTTCATCCCGCCTCCCCCCTGGAATGCAGACTCAGGAGGAATGTGCCTGCTGGCAGCTGCTGGTGCTGCCACAGGGTCTCCGGTCACTGGCCGCCTCTTGTGGCCTCTTCTGTGTGCCTCTGACACACTGGCCACCAGCTACACCCCAAGCCCCTGTCCTCTGTGGACTCTGGCTTCTTCCCTGCACCCTCAGGCTATCAGGCTGAGTCATCACTCGCCTACCTTGAGAGTGGGCCATGCCTGGGCTGGGAATCAGGGCTGGGACGATAAGCAGGGAGATGAGAGGCCCGTCCTGAAGCCCTGGGCTTGCCCGCAGTGAGGGCAGATGGAGTCCATGGGCCTCCCTTCCCTCGGACACCCCGCCCTGCCAGTGGGCTGGTGCCAGGCCTTTGGCAGGTGGGCAAATGCACAGGTTTCCCCGCTCCCAGCCAGAGCTAGAGGGGGCTGCCAGGGTCATCAGCTGAAACCCTGTCTGAGGTGCAAGGCAATGGTGGCCTAGGTCACCGCAGAATAGGGTCACATCGTGGGTGACTAGAGCACCCAGGCAGAAGCCAGATGGCCTGTCTGCACCTGTAACAGGCTGCCCCCATGCACGTCTCTTTCTTATTCTCCCCTCTGACTCCACCCCACACTCTGTCTCCTTCTGCCTATCTCTGTGTCCCTATAGTATCAAATCAAGCTGTGTGTGCGTGCGTGCGTACATATGTGTGTGTGTGTTTCTCCAAGGTCTTCATGGTCTGTCCTTCCCCGCCCCCCGCCCCTTCCACCCCCCTGGCCCCTGTGGCCCTGGCTGCTCTGAGCACCTGCAGCACTTTACCTGCCGGGTCATCCCCCTGGCTGTGGCCCCTCCCCCAACTTCTCTACCCACCAACTGTCTCACCACCCAGTTCTCTCCAGTTTGGGGCTCAGGCCCCTCCCACCTGACCTCAAAACTGCGTCCAGCTGCCAAGCCTGGAAGCCCTTGGCACCTGACCAGGTCCAGCTCCTGTGTCCCCAGCACCCAGCACGGCCTGGCCTGCAGGACCATCAGCGTCAGCAACAGACCCTTCCTCATTTATTCATTGTCCAGTGACCGCAGCTTCCCCTGTGCCCAGCTTGGCGCTAAGAGACTTAAAGCAGAGGGCTAGGGGGTGTCTACCCATCTTGTAGATAAGAAAACTGAGACTCAATACCAGTGGATAAATAGGTTACATGTAAATAAAGGGTGAGCCAGGTTTCAGACCAGGTCAGGAGGCTTCAAAGACCAGACGCTTCCTTTTGACGCTGTCCTGGCCCAGGCTCGCTGGTTGGTCCTACGAGAGAGTCGTCGAAAGGGGTCATATGCCTGTCTGACGCACGAGGACACCACGGCTCAGAGGTCAGGAAACAGACCTGCCCGGCTAAGGGCAGCGCTCTCATTTACGCCGAGTTTGGCAGCATCAAGGGCACTCACAAGCATCCCCGTTGGATCTTCTTGGTGGCCCAGGTGATGGCCAAGGTCACACAGTAGTAGCCCTGAGCCAAACCCAAGTCCTCCAACTTCACTCCTTCGGAGCCTGCACGAGCCCAGCGGCCGAGTCTGGCTTCCCTGCCGGCGGCCAGCTCCTGGGCCAGGCCCCAAGCAGAGAATAAACTTCTACAGAGCCCCACACACCACACTGCCAGCCGCCTCTGAGCCTTTGTCCATGCTGTTCCATCTGTTAGGAACACTGTGCCCCTTTCTTCCTGGTAAGTTCACATTTGAATTCAAAGCCCAGTTCAGACATGACACTTCCAGAGAGGGCTCAGGTCTCAAACCCCCTCTCTGCCACATCACTTAACCTCTCTGTGCCTCAGTTTCCTCACTCATAATAATCTCACGTGACAGGCTCACTGTGAGGGTCACACGTATGACACATGCCATGCGCTGAGTTCAAGGCCCGCTCAGCGTGTGCACTCGGTCAGTGAAGCTGTTGTTGGTAAACACCTGACAGAACATGCGGCTCACACATGGACGGATAGTAACTGCTCTGTGCTTCCCTCCAGCAGGGGCAGAAGAGGAGCTGCAGGTGATTCAGCCTGATAAGTCTGTGTCCATCGCAGCCGGTGAGACGGCCACTCTGAGCTGCACTGTGACCTCCCTGCCCTGTGGGGCCCATGTGGTTCAGGGGGACAGGGCCAGGCCGGGAGCTCATCTACAATTTCAGAGAAGGCAGCCTCTCTCAACGAGTAACAGCTGTCGCAGACACCACGAGGAGAGACAACATGGACTTTTCCATCCGCATCAGTAACATCACCCCAGCAGACACAGGGATGTACTACTGTGTGAAGTTCCAGAGAGGAAGCCCTGACACGGAGCTCAGGTCTGGAGCAGGCACTCAGCTCACCGTGAGTGGTGAGTACAGTGTGGGATCCTTCGTCCCTGGTGTGTGGCAACAACAACAAGGATGCCCTCAGTTCTGTGAGCAACAGCTAAGAATCAGGTGCTTCGGAGCTGAGAGTCATGATCTGATTCATGGTCTGGTTGCACCCCTTCTGCAGATCAGGGAGGTCGAGGCCTGGAGAGGTCATGCTCTTTGCTCAGTTCTCACAGATGGTAACTGGTGGGAAAAGTCTGGAACCCCTGTTTGCTTGGCTCCCCAGCTCTGGCCCTTCCAATCCCATCTAGCACCGTGGTTCCAGGGATGAGGGTCTGAGTGACTTGCCCATCACAAGCCAGACCTCACCCTGCCTCCAGAGAGTGCTCCCCTCAGTGTGGCCCAGTCTCCTCCTTACTGACGCCTACTGGGCACCTGCTGTGAGCCAGGCTGTGCTCTGGGTGCCGGGGGAGCTGCAGGGAACAACACAGGCAAAGGTTCTTCTCCCACGAAGCTTTGCTCTCTTCCCCCCAGTAGGGAGAAATCCACCCAGGACAGGGAGGGGGGAGAACAGGTTTCTTTATTTCATCCTCAGAAACATCACAGGAGAAAAAATTCCTACGAGGCACAGACTTACTGTTTCCTCTGACAGCCCTGGTGGGAGGAGATGCCAGAGGTTGGGTATTCACTGTGGGTCGCTCCGATAAACCCCCTTTTTATTTCAGGGACCCAGGCACACTGTCACTGAGGCTCCGAGCAGAGTTATCTCAGACTATCCCTCACCAGGGAGGAGGTTCCCATATGGGTGACAAGAGTCATCCCACTGAGGCAGCAAAAGTGCTCAGTTTGGTTTTTCTGCCAGAGGCCCAGGGTCCTGCATCTGGACTGTCAGCACCTTTAGACCACCCTGCCCAGCCCATCTAGGTTAAGAGGGGGCCTGAGGCCAGGAGGTGGCAGGGGCTCTGCCCACGGCACATGCCGATGACTGAGGACATCCAGGCAGGTTCCTTCCTGTCCTGTCGTAGGACTCACTTTCCATGGACGACCTGGTGCATAGTAGGTGTTGAATAAAAGCTAATTACACCAAAGCATTGCATGAGGAGCCAGAATACTCCTTCAGTCATTTTCTTAAAGGTTCAGATGCCCCTTGCATTCAGACCCTGAGGTCCGAGGCCACTGGGAACCTCTCCCTACCTTCAGCCACATCACCCGGACTGAAGCATCATGTCACCTCCCAGAGCTGCCCCTTGTTCGGCAGCTGCCTCCCGCTCCAGGTGTGGAGATAGCCTTTCATTGACTGTCTTCTGTTGATGGATGTGAGTTGTTCCTGACCTTGGGCTATTAGAACAGAGCTGCAGGGGGACACCCTGTCCACGCGTCACCCTACTCAGGAGGGAGATGCCCACTGGAAGCGGCGTTGCTAGGTCACAGGCTGTGTGCATTTTAATCTGTGGGGATATTGCCAGATTTCCCTCCTAGACATGGTAACAACAGTCTCCCCACAGCTCCTGGGCACAGGCAGGGAAAGTAGCTTTATCCTGGTTTTGAGGATATTACTCAAGTTCCCTGTGGTGCTCCTGAGGCAACCACAGGTAGTAAGCATCTCCATCACCACTCAGATCTGCAACCGCAGGTAGTAAGCATCTCCATCACCACTCAGATCTGCAACCACAGGTAGTAAGCAGCTCCATCATCACTCAGATCTGCAACCACAGGTAGTAAGCGGCTCCATCACCACTCAGATCTGCAACCGCAAATAGTAAGCGGCTCCATCACCACTCAGATCTGCAACCGCAGGTAGTGAGCGGCTCCATCACCACTCAGATCTGCAACCACAGTAGTAAGCATCTCCATCACCACTCAGATCTACAACCACAGTAGTAAGCGGCTCCATCACCACTCAGATCTGCAACCACAGGTAGTAAGCGGCTCCATCATCACTCAGATCTGCAACCGCAGGTAGTAAGCGGCTCCATCACCACTCAGATCTGCAACCGCAGGTAGTAAGCATCTCCATCACCACTCAGATCTGCAACCGCAGGTAGTAAGCGGCTCCATCATCACTCAGATCTGCAACCACAGTAGTAAGCGGCTCCATCACCACTCAGATCTGCAACCACAGGTAGTAAGCGGCTTCATCATCACTCAGATCTGCAACCACAGGTAGTAAGCAGCTCCATCATCACTCAGACCTGCAACCACAGTAGTAAGCGGCTCCATCACCACTCAGATCTGCAACCACAGGTAGTAAGCAGCTCCATCATCACTCAGATCTGCAACCACAGTAGTAAGCGGCTCCATCACCACTCAGATCTGCAACCACAGGTAGTAAGCGGCTCCATCACCACTCAGATCTGCAACCGCAGGTAGTAAGCGGCTCCATCACCACTCAGATCTGCAACCGCAGGTAGTAAGTAAGCGGCTCCATCACCACTCAGATCTGCAACCACAGTAGTAAGCGGCTCCATCACCACTCAGATCTGCAACCACAGTAGTAAGCGGCTCCATCACCACTCAGATGTGCCGCCTCCTGGTGGAGGGCTCGTCCTCGTCCCCAAGCCGCCTGCTCAGTGAGGCCCTGGCTGAGAAAGCAGGGAGCTGGGAGAGGCCAGGCCCATGTCTTCATTTCGGCATTTACTCCTATAACCAGTGCCATGGCCCTTCTGACAGATGAGGACACCAAGGCTCAGTGAGAGGACCTCAGTGAGCAGGCAGCTAAGGTTGAGCCCCAAGCATCCTGACTCAGGCCCTGCTCTGCCACCCCCCACTGTGCTTGCCCAGGTGTGGAGTAAGCCTCCAGCTTCTCTGAAGTCCTGAATTGGGTTGTTCTTCAGCAGTAAGCCTTAAAACAAACAGTCCTGTGGGGGGCAGGTCTAGTTTTACATCCCCTATCGGACAGGTGTGCAGATGTCCCGTGAGGTGCTGGCCCTGCTCCTAACGGCACAGCCCAGCGTATGAGAGCAGAAAGGAGGCTGTCCCTTCGCTGTGGTGTTTTTCCTTCACTGAGCAGCCTGGGGACAGCAGCCTGGAGAGAGCAGGAGGGTCCCTGCAGCCCCAGTAATACCATGCGTACCATTCCTGTCTCTGCAGACTGAGGGGGGTGGCATTTCCTGGAGGGCACTGGGGCCCCAAGTGAGCATGAGTTCATATTCTAGACTCGCTTGTCAGGGCCCATTCTCCCATCTGTTGCTGCAGCATCCCCAGGCCGGGGCACGTGGAGTCGACTCCTCCGTATAATTCCTTGCAGGCAGGCGTCTCACAGGGCAGGAGGGGACGGCAGTCAGTGTGGTACACTCACTCTGCTGATGGACATGAAGCTTGGGGGCCACAGGACATGCCCTGGGACACAGTGCTGGGTGAGGAGACAGCCCCTCCTTTCTGTCAGCCTCACTGCACTCATTGGTAGACTAGCGATAGTCATGGACTCCTCCAGGAGAGTTGAAGGATTTGAGGTGATGTGTCTGAGTCACCCAGCACAGAGCAGCACCCCAACATCAGGTGTTCCTTCAGGGCGTGGTCCAGTTTCTTTCGCGGGGCCTGCTCACCTGTGGGCAGTGTGGGTGGCCTCACACCGAGGCAGGGAGGCATGAGGACTCCGTGAGCCGGTCCGGGAACAGGCCCTCGGTGCGCAGGGGCGTCTTCCCGCAGCTGTGCTCCTGGGCAAGACCCCGTTTCCCTGGAGTCCTCGGCGTCCCCATCTGTGAAGTGATCATCGCAGCTCCTGTTCAGGGGCCCCTGAGGGCCGGAGGGATGTCTGCAGAGCCAGGCGGGGGTTCAGGGGGTTCCTGAGCGTCAGTGCCCGGTGGGTGAGAGCATGGGCCCAGCCCCGGCCGCCTGGGCTCACATCCCAGCCGGGCCACCTCCCAGCTCTGTGACCTCTGACCCTTCTCCCCACACTGCGCCTGGGTGTCCTCCTCGCCGGCGCCAGCACTGACACCCCCCCCCCCCGAGTAGCTACAGGACTGAATGGGTGTCTGCGAAGTGCTTCGACAGCGCCTCAACAGATGAATGGTCCCCGAATGTGAGCTATGATGCCCTGAGGCCATGGGACCTTGGGCAGGTCACTCTCCTCGCCAGGCCGCAGTATACATGGGGCTAAAGGTGGGGTTCAGTGCCTTTCAACTTTGGCTGCTCATTGGAATCACCTGGGAAACTTTGTAAAGGTCCCCAGACCCTGGCTGCACCTAGGCAGTCTGATTTAACTGCTCAGGCGTGGGCCTGGCAGCTGGGTATTCCAACGATCCAGAGGATGCTAATGCTGAGCCAGGCAGAGAGCCCTGAGCCCGGTGTCCTCTGAGCCACAGGGACCTTGTCATTCTCCCCTGACAAAGGTGGCGCCCCCTGCTGCAGGGCTGAGAGAACAACAGCTTTAGGGGTGCAGGTGCCTTCGGACAGCATGTGCCAGTAAAGGCTCCCCAGGGCCCCAGGAAGGAGCCCTGGTGGAGTGGCAGGGACCCTCCCAGGAGCCAGCCGGGCTGAGAGTGGCACCCTGCCCTCTCCACCCCGAGGAGGGGCAGCCCAGACACCTGTTCAGATCCGAGCCCCATTGCTGGGGGCACCTTCCCATCTCTAAACACCTGTGTCTAAACAGGTGCTGGAGTCCCCACAAATGCTCGCCGCTCAGCCCCAGAGCCCTTCCTGCCCCCGCACACCAACACCTCAGTGCCGGAGTCTGTCCTCCCTTTCTGCAGAATGCGTCCTGCTTCTGTAAAGAGCTAACCTGTAGGGAAACGCGTGTGATCTCCCGTGTGTTTTGAAAGTCAATTCACCAAACTTGTTTCCTGAGGGGATCATTAAAAAAAGAGAGAGAACCATCATTTGGTGGTTTCTCTGCTTTTTGCATCTGAGCGCTCGCACGGCAGCTGCAGGGAGCAGGATTTCGGCTTTCTCCGTGTTTCCGCAATGCTTTTGTTTCGGCTTCTTACTGCCTAGAGAGCCCGGACCCGGAGGGAGGCAGCCCTTCCCACGGAACGAGTAGGTCCAGGTCTGAGGATAGCAGTCATCGGTGTCATTTAGTAAGCACTTGCTGTAAAAGGGAGTGCAAAAGTAAGCTTACAGTCGTTTGTATGGAAAATAATATAATAAGGAATAAATAATAATACAGGAAGAAACTGTGTTTTACGTACTCAGAACTGTAAACCTACTTTGGCCCACCCCTATATGCCGGGCTCTGTTTTACATAAATCCTCACTCCCCCGACTAAGGGTGGTGTTTTGGCCCAGTTTGTACAGAAACAGACACTGAGGATCAAGGAAAAGAACAGCGACGCTAAGTCAGTCGGTCCTAGGAGTGGTGAGAGGGGCCCTGCCCTGCCCTCCCTGTGCGCCCCTGACCAGCCAGTTCCTCTCTCCGCCTCATCCCCCAACTGAGACCACACAGGCCCTGCCGTCAGGGTGCTGAGGGGCTGAGGGGCGCAGAGGGAGCGGCCCATTATCAGGATACCAGGAGGCCCTCACTGAAGGGTAACTGGTCCCAGCACCTCTAGGGACACCCAGGCTGCTGGTGTTTTTATGACTTGACAGTCCACGTGACACTCCCTTATCGATGTCCTCAAAATGTCTGATGAGTTATAGGAAGCAAGTTAGATATTTACCAATGCAAGTACTTATTAATATTTGCTGTCTGCTCACGTAGAGAAGGTGTTGGGTAATAATTAACAATCTCAAGACCCCCCACGGAATCCTTCTACAGGGAGGAAGTGCTCTCGTTCTTGATTCGGGGATTGTGGATGCTTTCGGGACCCGGGGTGCTGCCTGCCTCATAGTCTGGTCTGTCTGTTCTCGTCCAATGACGATTAAGAAATGGGCCACCACTGGCTTTCTCAGCACTCGGATCCTTGTGCTCCTCCCAAACTGACCCAAGAGACGAACCCAGATTCAGAAAAACATCCCGTCTCTGCCCTCCCCCCTTTCAGATTGAGTGATTGGCACAGATTAGATAGACTCTACTGGAGTATTTTTGGAATGAATGGAAACTGTGGAGTAAACTCATAAACACCTGAAGGGAGAGCTCTGGATATGCATTAAGTCTGGGTTCAAGACAAATCTATGTTCATTTATTTTTGAGAAGCATCTTCTGTTTTGCTCAAAGCAAAAAAAAAACCTTCCATTGCGTGACGTAAGCTGCAGCCCAGGGAAGGAGACATGCCTGCTGCCCGTTTCACAGGTGGGCCTGGGATGTCCCCGCCACACCTCTCCTCACCTAGCCAGCCTGGTTCCCGCTGTCCTGGGGGTCCCACTGTCACGGGGACCCCGCTACCCACAGCTTCCCCTGCACTCACTTCCGTGTCATTTACTCGGGAGCCGGGAGGCTCCCAGGGAAGGCCCGTAGGAGCAGTTAGTGTGAAGAGCGAGACTGCGCAGTGATTGTGTTCCTGGTCCCAGACTGGTGGGAAATGACCTGGGGAGGAAAGAAGGTGACCTTGAACTCAGGCCCAGAACTGCTTGCAGCCCCTGCCCCTCGGAGTTCACTTCCGGGGCATGAGTATCCTCCGCTGTATGATGAGGACAGTGACACCCTCCCAGATTAGGAGAAGGATGTAGAACAATATATGAGAAGGTTCTTGAGAGTGTCATATGCTTATCGTCAGTGGTGATAATCACAGTCATGTTCATTGTTTATTATGCTCCTGTTACAGCCAAACCCTCTCTCCCTGTGGTATCGGGTCCTACGGGGCGGTCCACACCTGGGCAGACAGTGAGCTTCACCTGTGAGTCCCATGGCTTCTCCCCCAAAAAGATCACCCTAAAATGGTTCAAAGATGGGAATGAGCTCCCAGCCTCCCAGACCACCGTGGACCCCGAGGGAGACAGCCCTTCCTACAGCATCTCCAGCACAGCCAAGGTGGTGCTGGCCCCGGGGGATGTTCGCTCCCAGGTCATCTGCCAGGTGGCCCACGACACCCTAAAGGGAGACACTACTCTTCGTGGGACCGCCAACTTGTCTGAGACCATCCGAGGTAGATGTCCCTCACAAACTACCCAAGCCCACACCTGGTCCCTACCCTCCAAGCCTGCTCCTCCCCCTGCCTTTGCTCCAGAGTTTGATTTTCCTGGAATCTAATTCCTGACAGTTCTTCCCATCACCAGGCACCTGGATGTGCCCATCACTCACCAGTGTTGAATGGCAGCTGCCAGGTGCACACCCACCACCGTACTTGGTAGTTCCATCTACTTTACCAATAGCAACTCCAATAACTGAGCATCTGCTATAAGCCAAGTTCCTACGTTCTTGGTGATTTTATTTATTTTGCTACAGTCATCCTGTTCCAACTGCATGCTGGGGCTGTCCTTGGTGATGTCACTCCTAGTACCTAACAGGAGCTACCAGTTCTTGAACACCTACTGCGTGCATGGCACTGTGCTTAACGATTTCATTCACATGTCTGAGCACCCGTCCTCTGTGACCTGTCCTTGAGCGGTGGGGGAGCTAAGGTCTGCAGCCCCCTGTGTGATCTGTGTCCCATGAGCTCAGAGCTTCTGCCCTGTGCTGTTTCAGTTCCTCCCACCTTGAAGGTCACACAGCACACTGTGTCAGGGAACCAGGAGAATGTCACCTGCCTGGTGAAGAACTTCTACCCCCAGCACCTCCAGCTGACCTGGTTGGAGAATGGAAACAAGTCCCGAACAGAAACGGCCTCGACCCGCGTGGAGAACAAGGACGGGACCTTCAGCTGGAGCAGCTGGCTCCTGGTGAACCTGTCTGCCCACAGGGAGGATGTGATGCTCACCTGTCTGGTGGAGCACGACGGGCAGCCGGCGGTCACCACTAACCTCACGGTCAAGGCCTCTGCTCATCAGAAGGACCAGAACACAGGTGGACCCTCTGGTGAGGCCCCTACTTTAACTGATCCAGCCCCAATTAAATCTTACTTTTACTTTTACTGTTATAAGTAGTAATTCATGCTTATTACAGAATAATCTAGAAGTCTATGGATAGAAGGTAGAATTTTAGAGTGAGCTCCCCTCCCCCAAACTTCAGGCTCCATAGTCAACACTGCTGAGAGTTTGGTACATACCTTTACAGGTCTTTGGACACCACTGCACATTAAAGAAGAAAGAGCTAGGGAGGGAGACCCTCCTGTTCCCCGCGTCCTGCCTCTTGCTTTCTCCACCTGACTGTCCCTGCATTCACCGCCCATGTCAGCCCCCCCCTCCTGGCTCTTCCTAGTGTCCTGGTTGCCCTGGCTGCCATTGCAAGCCTGCCCCACGGGAACGCGGAGGGGCTGGCGGATGTTTGCAGCTTTTGTCATGTATAATCACTGCTGCAAAATGTCCTTGTCCCTGCTCTGTTACATGTGCAGCTATTTCTGTGGGACCATTTCCCAAAGAGCATTCTAGACCCAAGTGCATGCCCATTGAAGGTGATGGTAATGCTGCCATCTCCCGGGAGAGTACATGGTGCCAGGGTGGCATTTTCCCAGCAGCCCTGCAACGTGTTGTCATGCATCTCTCTTCTGTCTTCACAATGGCAGCGCCTTGTTGGCATTTCGGCGCCAGGGTGGAATGTTCCATCCCTGTCGTTAGCATAGCCGTGCCTTGTACACAGCAGGCCCTTTGAGTGGATTAGAGTAAAGGCCATTTCTTTCCTTTGTGCATCCTTCAAGGGATCAGGGAGCTCAAAGAAGTCCTGCGGCCCTGTCAAGGTGTCTCTGATGTCACCGATGCCTGGTTTTCATAGGGTGAGCAGTCGGGATGTACTTACTTAGAGACACTTAGAGACAGGATGTACGGATCAATCTCTGGCTCTGTCCCAGAGTCAAGAATCCACTGGGTGACCTTGGACAAGTCAGTGCCTCTGCCTGGGCCGCCTGCTTACTCATGGCGCGTGGCGGAGGGGAGCTCTGTGCCCCGGCCGGGTCTCGGCGAGGAGCCGCGGCCACTGCGGGACCCGCTCTCAGCCCAGCGCACAGTAGGCACCCAGGAATACTTTTAGAAAGGATGCAAGAAGGAGTTGGCTGGTTGTTTGGTTAGTTACTGAGTCCATCCTCAGAGCTATCCCACGTGGTAGAGATTAGTTTTGGCCTCAGCAACACACGAGGAAGCCAGTGTGTGGAGGTTTACATGACAGGCGCAGGGTCGTACAAGTAGGGTCGTGGACCGGACCCCACGTTTCTGCCGCTCAGCCCTGCTCCCGACTGCTCACTAGGCTCCGGTGTAGGTTCCTCCTTGGGCCCCGAGGCCAGCCAGGTCCTCGTCTTCATGTCAGGTGTCCTGGGTTCAGAGCCCCTATGCCCGGGTCCTGGGTCCCGGGTCCCGGTCACTCATCAGCAGACATTCCCTGACAGGTCTGCAGAGTCCATTATCACCTGCATGTCGGCCACTCCTCGCTGTCCCCATTGTGATTCAGTTTGGATGGACTGTGCCGCCACGGTGGCCACTGGCTCACTCCAATGAGGAAGAACATGTTTCTGGTCCCCAGAAGGGATATTTCTGCCCACGTGCGGCAGCCCGGTCTCCACCATGCTGTCGGCACCTGACAGTCTCTCCCTGGCACCTTGGCATGGTGTCTGCTACCCGAGGCTGACCCATGTGGGGATGTGTGTGCAGAACCGTGGGGCTCGAAACATCCAGGACGACCCAGCCAGATGTTCTGTTGACGGTGCCCAGCGAGTGGTGCAAAGAGGCGGTGGGTTGTAATCCTCTTTGTGTCTAACTTGCGAGCATGAAGCCTCTGTTCTGTCTTGTCTCTAGATGATCCCAAGAATAGTATCTTCATTGTGGTGGGCGTGGTGTGTGCCTTGCTGGTGGCCCTGCTGATCGCAGCCCTCTATCTCCTGCGCGTCCGACAGAAGAAAGGTGGGTGGATGCTCGCTTCCTCCGCAGAAGTTTGCCCCAGGCTCCTTCCCAAAGGGAGAGGCCACCAGAGTGCTCCGGGCTCTGCATGGCTTGAGCCATTGGGATGTCCAGTTACCTCCAGCAGTAAGGAAGAAGTCCAGAGGTAGCAGGGCTGTGGCCGGCGCCACTTGACCAGGCTGCAATCTGGTGGCTTTCCCTCCCGTGACCTTCCCCTCATGGCTGCCCCAGGCCCCATCTCTCCATGGGCCCACTGTCAAGGTGGGAGGCAGGGAGCTGCCAGGGTGGCAGGAGGGTCTCAGGGAGGAAATAGCATCCCAGGAGCCCCGGGCAAACTCGCTTTCCTCTTACCTGTCCAGGTTCCACGCCCAGCCCCTAAGCAGGTGTGGGGATGCTGCCACCACCTACCTGCAGGGTTGCTGGGAGGGTTAGGTGGGTGACTGCAGGCAGAAGGTTAAGAAAATACCTGGCACACAAGGGCTCACTAAATGTTAGCACCTGTCATCAGCATTGTATGTGAGGCCAGAAACACGAGCCACCTCCCTGGAAAACTTTCCTCACAGTGGCAGGAGGGGACCGTTCAAATCTAAGACATTGTGCCGTGTGTGTGTGTGTGTGTGTGTGTGTGTGTGTGTGAGTGTGATGTGGTTGTGGCAAGGCCTCTGACTTTGGAATCAGACAAACCAAAGTTGTCATAGGTTCGAAACTATCAGTTTGGGCTCCACGAGTCTCAGTTTCCTCACCTGTAAAATGGGTACAGCAACGCCTGTGTTGAAGGACTTATGAAACCAAAGCAGCTCATGTGAAATAACAGCTCTGACACATTCTCAGGCCTCAAAGAATACAAGTTCTCTTTCCTACTCTCAAAGGAAACACTTTTAAGCCAAGGTTTCTGAAACCTATTTGACTACAAATGATAGAAATACATTTCATATTTCAACCCAACACGTACACACTCCATAGATAAAATTAGCACAGTGATATTTTCTTTTTCGTCCTATTCTATACTAAGTTCTCTAAGAGGACTGGGTGTGAGCTGCCACGTGTCACAGCCTACGGAGCGCGAAGTGCCGTCCTGAGCTGCCTCTCGGCGACCCCCAGGCTCAGCTCAGTGAGGGGCCACGATGCCTCAGCCCACGTCTTTTCTGCACCCCTCACCTCTGCCCCCAGGTGCCCCTCCCTCGGGCTGGCAGGAGGGCATGGCTAGGAGTACGAGCCTCCTCCAGGAGGGCTACAGTCAGGCCCATGACTCTGGACTCTGGAAGAGCTTCTGCAAGTGATCTACCTAGTGGTTTCCCTAAAGTTCCTGGGGAGCTCCACACAGGAAGGACTCCTTGCCCACCAAGGGTGGCAAGCCCGCCCATTGGATGCAGTGTTCATGGCGACTGTTAGTGAAATCCCAGCCCCTGGACTAGAGCCTCATCCCTGGGCACCATGCCACTCCTGGTACACATGAGCTCATTGCTGGGGGCTCAGGCACCAGTGGCCAGGGTTCCAGAGGAGGAATGGGGGTTTGGAGAGCTGCGGACATGGTGCCACCCAGCCCGAGTGGTGGGTCTGTATGGGCAGACCCCAGCTCTCAAACGTAGGCCCCAGTGATAGAGACCAGCACTCGCTCAGCCCTTCTGGTGTGAGGCACTGTCCTCACCACAGACTTCCGCAGCGGTGCTATTAACCCCATTTTACAGGTGAGGAAACCGAGGCATGAAAAAGTTGTAAAACTTGCTCAGGGCCTCACTACTGGTGAGCGGTGGGGCCAAGATTGGAACCTTGGCAGTGGGCCTCCAGGGCCCACTCTGTACCTCGCTTCCACCCGAATGAGATGCCCCCTTCCCCGCATTGGTCCCTGGAAGGGCCCGCCCATCCTCTACCTCAATACAGTGAAAAATCCTCATTTCAGTTCCACCAGTTACCAGCTGTGTGACCGTTAGGAGTCACCCAGTCTGTTTGGTGTAAAATGGGGGTGATCAGTCATTGGACTCCCTGAGACAGCTCGTGTCCCAGCCCTTTACAACCATCCGCTTCCATTTGGATGGTAGATGCTGAGCTGCGGCCTCCCCACCGGTCCCTGCTCACCTGAAAACCCAGTACCTGCCCAGGCTGCACACAGGAACCCAGCAGCGAGGGTGTCGGCGTTGCCGCCGCCGCCAGCCTGTTAGCACGAGGTGCAGAACACATTCGGGTGTGCATGTTGCTTTTTAATTACAATTTTGCAATGAAAGTCTAGTCAAATGGCGGCTGAACCCCAGTGGCTTCTCTGTGGGATGCCCCATATCACAAGTTTAAAATCTCTGAACCAGATGGACCCTTTCTTTCCTCCCAAGATCCTTTCTGAGAAAGTGGTGACATGAAAATAAATGAAGGTCCCGCCCAGCCCTGAGTCAGAGAGCTGAACTCCAAGCTCAGAGGGTGGACATGACCCACCGAGTCGCCTAGCGAGCGAGTTGTGGGCAGAAGTGGGATTCACACCTGCTCCCCAGCCCACAGCCCCCCCCCCCCCCCCCGGGCTCTGTTCTCCAGCGGCGAAAGGCCGCGACTGGGACCCAGGCTCGATGCAGGGTCTCAGGTAAGGGTGTGGTGAAGCCCAGACCCGGGGAGGCAGGTGGCCCCTCCCAGGATGCTTGAGGATCTGACCGTGGGCAATTCCCAGAGCTGAGAAAGCAGGAACCTCCTGGCTCCCTCAAAGGAAGATGACGGACCACCCTATGGGGTGACCGTGGGGCTTCCTACGGTGGGGAGGATACAATTCCAACAATTTCTCCCAATGTCACTGGAGGCAAACCTTTGCCCACCCCCACCCCCAAAAGTTACGTAAGAAAAGTTTGTTTCTAGGTTAAATAATTAACTTTTCTTTTCTCTTTTCAGCCAAGGGCTCCACTTCTTCTACAAGGTAAGTGCCTGGCTGGGCTGGGAGGCAGCTGCAGTTGTCACTTAGCTGTTTGACAGCCCCAATCTGAAAAGCATCATCCACACTCACTGACCCTCAGGCCTGTGCCAGTCAACCTTTCTGTGCCTTTCCTTTGTCCGCGCCTGGTCCAGGCCCATTGTTAACTATTGAGAGGATCTGAGGGGACTTCCATGCACAGAGGCACCCATTTCTGGCCTGCTGGCCACAGACAGTGAGACTCATGAGATCCCATTTGGACTGTGGCAGAAGCCTCCTGCTCACGCCACCCCTGATCCAACTTGTATACTTTGCTCTTTCCTTCGTTTGTTAAATATTTACCGAGCACCTTGGCCCAGGGGCCCTGGGAACACTAGGTCATCGTGCCTCCTGTAGCCCGCGCCCTGGTCAGAGGCCGCGGCGGTGACCTTATGGCACAGATGGTGCCTTAGTTTGTGGATTCATATTTTCACTGATTCTTACTGAGACCCTGCTGTGTGCCAGCTCTGTTCTGGGGGCCGGGATACAGCAGTGAACAAAGGCAGCCTGGACCTAACTGGGGTTCAGATGCCAGCGAGAGAAGCAGTAAGCACAGAGGTAGATGATATATAATGTCATGTCAGGAGGTGGCAAATCAAACAGAGCAAAGGGGAGAAGATTTATGGCAGGACCCCCTTAGGCCGGGGGAGGGGCCTCCTCTGAGGATGTGAGCAGGGTTCGAGCTAGGGAGCCGTGAAGCAGAGGTTGTGCGGGGCGGACAGCGGTGTGGCTGAGGCCAGAGCTGAGGTGCCAGGAGTCACAGGGGAGCCTGCGCCCGGGGCAGAAGGCAAGAGAGGAAGGGCCGGAGAGGCGCTCAGGGAGATGCGGGTGCTCAGGTCTGAGCTGAAGCCCCCCAGCCAGCTGTGGGACTCACCCAGGCTTCTCAGCTTTAGGGGGGCCCCTGATATTCACCCCAGTAGAACTGAAACGGCACCCCATCATCTACATCATGAATGTACCTACTTGGAAACCGATGAACATCTGTACTAAGAGCAATAAATAAAAACTATAAATAGCTTCATGTTGGTTTTAGGTCAGATTTTGCCACCAAGTGGGTTTTGCAAATCTTTTGATTTTTTTTAGAGCTTTGTGGATTTCAGAATTACAGCGCAGGAACTGAGGCTCCAGAGTGGAGGCCAGTGGTCTGGGGCCTGCGGCCGCTAGGACCTGGGGTTTTACCCCCAGCGGGATGAGGGGCCATAGGAGGGAGATGATCTGACTTTCATTTTAAAAGTATCACCCTCAGTGTCATGTGGGGACCCAGCTGTAGGGGGTGAGGGGGGAGGCAGAGAGGCCAGGGAGGCGACCTCTGCATGATGTTCCAAGCAGATGATGGTGGCCTTGACCAGCGTGGGGGGAAGGGCTGAGAAATGGTCAGATTCTGGTTATATGGTGGAGGTATAGCTAAAACAACTTGCTGATGGAGTAGATGTCAAGTCAGGGACAATCCTGAGGTTGGGGTCAGTGGGGGTGCTGTGTGTGTGCACATCAAGTGTACTCTTTTGCAAGGGCAAGGTTTGGCTTCCATTGTTTGCCTAAAAATCTCTCGTGCCGTGGTTCTCAACCTTCCTAATGCCGCGACCCTCTAATACAGTTCCTCATGTTGTGGTGACTCCCAACCATAAAGTTATTTTCGTTGCTTCTTCATAACTGTAATTTTGCTACTGTTATGTCTTAGGCGACCCCTGTGAAAGGGTTATTCGACCTCCAAAGGGGTTGCGACCCACAGGTTGAGAACGGCTGCTCTCGTGACTTTCATGGTCCTCAAGATAGTCCAGATGCCCTGCTGAGGCCCTCAAGCCCCTCCCGGTCCAGCCCCTGCTGACGTGGACAGTTTCACTGCCAGCCACTCCCCAGTGTTCGCATTCTGTGGCTCAGCCACGCTGTACCCCCTTCGCCTCCTCCCTCAAGCCTCGCTCTCCTCTAGCCCTATGCACTGGCCTCTTACCCTGACATGTGCTCCCCCACCCCTGCTCACTCACCATCCAGGGTCTCCAGGATTCCAGGGGCAGCAGTCAGAGTGGGCTCTGTGAACAGCGCCCCCTAGAGTTGTGTGACATGGAAGCTAGAGTGGACACCCCTCCTCTCACCTAGTTACCTCCTGCTCTTCCTCTGGGCTCAGCGAGGGCGTTATCTCCTCCAGGACTGGGAGCCCTCGGGGGGCTCTCCCATTCCCCTGCGTTGACATCCTGGTGTGTTCAAACTGCCTCTGCACTTGTCCCCAGATTGTAACCCATCCCTCTCGAGGGCAGAATCATTCCCTCATGTTCACTGCTGTTGGCTGCTGAACATGGCACCGGGCCTGGAATGGAATAGGTGCTCGGCAAAGGTTTCTTAAATGAACAAATGAAAGAGAGAAAAAAATGAATGAATGAATGAATGAATGAATGAATGAATGAATGCCATCCCAAACCACTGAGGCAGCCTCAATCTCCGCCTTCTCAGAATCCTTAAAAGTCTCCTTCTCAGGGGTTTTACAACCCCAAATATGAAAGCATCTCTCTTTTTTTTATTGCTGTCATTGTGTTTTATTTGTTTTTCCTTCCCAATTAGACAGTAAGTTCTGGAAGAAAAGGGCAGTGTCAATAATGATAACGATGACGACAGCATCAGCCGCTAACATTTATTGAACGCTCACTGGGCTCTAGGAACCGATCTATGCCTTTGCCTATATTAGCACAAAGGTGATTTTAATTATCACAAAAACCCTCTGATTTACTATTATCCCAATTTAATTGAGCAGGGGTTCTCAGACTTGAGCGCGCAGCACAATCCTCAGGGGGGCTTGTTAAAACACAGATTTCTGGGCCCCGCCCCCAGAGCTTCTGATGCAGAATTTATATTTCTGACAAGTTTTCAGATGCCACTGCTTCCCAGCCAGACTCGCAGAACCCTGTCCTAGACCGTGATTATTGTCCCTACGTGTGGTTGGGAGACTGAGGCTCAGAGAGTCCTGTTCTCCTTACCTGCGCCCATGCCTCTTGCTGCCTCGCTCTTCCCCGGAGAGGCCACCCATTTTCTGCCTGTTTTTTAGTTTTCCAGTGTGAGTCTACCAGGGAGCCGGAGATCACTTGCTCCCTCTCATCCTCTAACCAAAGCGATAGCTAGCGAGGCGTAATGGTGGTTTCCCACGCAGCAGGGGCTTCGCTGGGCTGGCTGGAATCAGGCGCTTTCCGGAGGACACAGGGAGGGAGCCAAGGGGGATGCCGCTGCTTTGTGCTCAGAGGGCCCCTCTGGCTGCAGAGCCTCTGGAGGGACCTGCTATGTCCAACTCCCTGGGTTAGGAACGTACCTTGTCACCTTCCCCAGCGCAGACGATGGCAAATGTGTCTGTTCCCTTCATTGGGCGCCGGGGTTCATTCCATTGGCTGTTTGTTCACTTGTCAGACACTCACTGCGTTTATCCCTGGAATATTTAGAGCTTCCTAGATTCTTTCATTTATTCATCTATTGAGTCCAGCTCAGTGCCAGGCCTTAAGCTGGGGGAGTGTAAAGGGAACAAAAATGGCACTAGCCCCGGTCTCATGGCACTTTTGATCCAGTGGGACAGACGGTCATTCATTCATTCATTCATCGCTCACCTATTTACAGCATGCTAATGATGTACTAGCCCATTACTGGGTGTCCGGGCTCCAGTGGTGAAACAGATGGGCCTCGTCCCTGCTGGCAGGGACACCACGGTCCATTGCGAGGCAGGTGACCAATGGGCCAGGAGGTTAATACACAGCTTGAGGCAGGTGCTGACTAAATAAGATGAAGCTGGGCACAGAGCAGAGCAGGAAGTGGGGTGTGGAGGGTGATCAGGGAATGCGTCTCTGAGGATGTGACATTTAGAAGATAGCTGAAGGATGAGAAGGCATGAGTCATAGGGACATCTGGGGCAGTAGTGGACCGGTGGCCTGGGCAGAGGGAACAGCCAGTGCCAAGTCCCCGAGGCAGAAGCAAGTGGAGATGACCCTGAACATGGAGGAGGCCAGGGCAGCTGGACTGGAGTGGCCCAGGGGGAGAGAGATGGGAGATGAGGGGCAGGGCATGTGGGTCTTGCCAGTCAGGATATGGAGATGGACTTCACTGTGTGGGGGAGAAGGGGTGGAGGGTTTTGAGCAGAAAAATGATACGACGTCATTTATGCATTTTACATGTGGAGAATGGGGTGCAGAGGGTCAGGAACAGAAGCAGGAGCACAGGGAGGAGGCACCTCAGGAATCTGGGGAACTAGGATGGTGGAGGTGATGGACTGGTTGGGTTTGATATGTATTTTGGGGGCAGAGTCAACAAGCCTTGTGGTGGCTTAGACATGGGTTGTAAAGGAGGAGAGAGGAGATTTGGGGATGGCGCCCAAGTCTTTAGCCCGAGCACAGGGATGAGTAGTAACAGGACCACTCACTGAGGTGGGAGAGACCAGAGAAGAGAGAGACACACACAGAATGGATACTTTCTTTCAATCTGAAATAGCTCTGAAAGAAAGGAACCCCGTGTTATGAGAAAGAAGTTGGGGGTATTCAGTGAAGTTTCCCCAGGAAGAAAAGGAGCGAACTAGATGAAGAGGCAAAGACTGAGTGTGCAAAGGCCCTGGGGCAGTCTGACTGGCATTCATCCTGTCACTTTTGAGCACTTTTGAGTAGCCATATGGTAAGGAAGTGTGGCAGGCAGACAGAGAGACAGATAACTAGATGGGAAACTATGTGAGGAGGTTTGAAATTGTCACAGAGGTTCAGCCAGCAGCCCGTCACTGTCAGAGAAGCCTCCCCAAAGACATGACACCATAGTTGAGTCTTGAATGATACACAAGTTAACCAAGAGAAAAAGTGGTCAAGAGGGTCATTCAAGGCTGTTGCTATGGACACATAAACTGTGCTGCATGGAGTAGTCCTATTAAATATATGGTGAGTGGTCCAGCTCGTGTGGCTCAGTGGCTGAGAATCAACCCATGCAGCAAGAGGTCGCCGGTTCGATTCCCAGTCAGGACACATGCCCAGGTTGTGGGTCGGATCCCCAGAGGGGGGCATGCAGGAGGTGGCCAATCAGTGCTCTCTCTCATGGATGTTTCTGTCTCTCCTGCTCACTTCCTCTCTCTCTAAAATCAATAAAGGAAAAAAAGAAAAAAATATTTGGTGGGTGAATAAGTGGGGAAATGAGGAGAGGGGAATGAATGAGTCTGGGCGGGGGTGTGGTCCGTAGGGGCCAGACCACATGGGTTTGACGAGCAGGGTGGTGAGTTGGACTTGAACCAGAGTCACTGGGGGCCCCAGAAGGGCTGGAAGCAGGTGGGAGTGGTAGCCCTGCATGACCTTCCTCACCAGACAGTGCCGCTGCTCCTAGAGGGTCGTTTCTGTGGCCACGTTGGGCCCGTCATGCCCCAGAACTGCTTTCTGGGCCAAGCACTCATGCCAAATCCATTAATAACCCACTGCCAAGCCCCATTGCTCACTTCTGACATTATCCAGGCTGACATCCCCGGAGCTGCGGCCTGAGAATTTATACAACTGCAGAACCAGTGGCTCTGGTTCACTCACCACCTTGGCTGTGACCCTGGAGTGAGCCAAGCCGTGGCCTCCAATTACAGAACTGAGTGCATGAATGGCTCCTTTGATTAACCAGGACACTTGATCCTTCCCTCTTCTCTTTTTTCACTGCTAACACCTAGATGTGTATGATATACAACAATTGGAGAATATGGGAAACTAAAAAGAAGCAAAAATACCACCCCAAAGCCCCAGTGGTTAGCATTTTACTGTGTTTCCTTCCAGTGTTATGCACACATTTTTCATAATTGAGAGCATTCCCCCGAGAATTTTGTTTTTTCACTTATCTTTTAATGTAATCATTTGTAATTAAAAGAGAAACCTCTTCCTAAACCCTTTAAATCTTTGTCTACAAGTCTATCCTAATTTCCTTAACCCGTCCCAGCTGGCAGAGCAGTAGACGGAGCACCCCTCCCCCACTCTGCCCTGCACCAGTGCCTCTGTCCATAAAGCTCTTTCTGTATTTTAATCCCCCCAGTGCAATTATGAGTCAGAAGATGAGGACACCTCCCCAGCTCTTCATTTGGCTAAATAAGCTGCTTCCCAACAGGGTTGCACCGGTTTGCCCCTCCCACCAGCAATATATGCAAATGCCCGTCTCACCATATCTTCCCCAGCACCGAGTATTATAATTTTTCAAGGTCCTTGCCAATGGAGTAGCTAAAAAAATTGGTAGTGCATTGCTGAAAATTCCTTTCTCGCGAGCCTGACCCATTTGTCCAAACGTGATAAGCAGTTGTACTTCTGTTGTGAACAGCTCTTCCCTGTCCTCCACCCATATAGGAAGTGGAACCTCAATGTTATTCTTATCAATTACATGAGCGCTTGAGACAGGGAGGATATTTTTATCTGTGTGTCTCTTTCCTTTTTAGGTTGCATGAGCCTGAGAAGAACGCCAGAGAAATAACCCAGGTACAGTCCTTGGTGAGGTGCCCTTCCTGGGAAACTCGATGGTGTGATTTTCTTACGCCAGCCGGAGATGCAGATTCTGTTCTAAATTAAGACTCCTTTCCCGGGGTGGGAGGGTGCGGAGGGTGGAGGATCTTTAGATTCCTCACTTTCCCCTGTTCTCTGCACACTCTCTCCCTCTGCTCCAGCCTGGATGTCTGTCCCCATCCCCTTGACTCATTGCCACGCACTGCACAACTGCAGGGGGCACAGTGTGTTCATGTCAGCGGAGTCCGGCTGCAGCCTTCCTTCTGGGGATGGTGCCATCCCACCTGCATGCGTTTGCCCAGGCCTGTCCCCCCAGCAGGGGCCCCTGCCCAGCTCATTCCTAGCTCCCCCTGTGCCTCTCACACAGAGGCACACAGCGCTGCTGGGGTCCGTCTTTCTGCTGCAAAGACCTCGTGTCATTAACTCCTCCAGCTGGCAATGTCTCCGCCTCATCGCTGGGATTTCGCAGGCAGCATGGTTGGCCTGTTTCCGAGAAGCCTCGCCTCGCTCCTTACGGGCTGACGCTGTCAGACCACGGAGGCAGAGGGCTCCCCTGTGTCTTGTAACAAGACAGGCCCTGCCCTGAACCTGGAACACGAGAACACCAGCTGTCCTTGCCATTTCCCTGGCTGTTGTCATCAGTTTAGATGTAATCTGCCGGAGAGAATCAGGGCTGGAATCAGACATGATGTTTGTAGGCCAAAACGTTGCGGCCTGCTCTCCTGACCCAGCACGGCCCCCCGTGGCCCTGGCACAGGCTCAGGTGGTAATTAGAAAAAAACACAATTTCCAAACATGGGAGAAGGGGACCTTCTCCCCCAGTCATTTTACCTCTGGACTTCTTTCTGGAACTTTCTGGGGAAAGAATGATGGTAAAAAGAACTGATTACTGAAACCTAGATAAAATTCAGTCAGCAAACACTCGCTGAGCACCTACTATGTGCCCAGCCCTGGGCAGTGAGCCGGGCAGTCACCACTCAGCTCTTGTGGCACTTGCAGCCTGGTATCTGGGGTTCCTGGTGCCAGGTGCCAGCCCTTGCCAGGGAGGGCATTTAATGCTGTTGGTGCGGGTTTCCTAGAGAGAAGTGTGAGCGTGCAGGGTTTGGGACACAGGAGCTGTGTGGTCAGACCACAGCTTTCGAATTCAACAGACTTTGGTTCTTCTCCAGCTGTGTGACTTTGACCAAATTATTTAACCTCCCCAGGTCTCAGTTTTTCCACCTGTAAAAGGGGTACATCATTCCGACCAAGCCGGGTTGTGATAAGGCCTAACTAGGTGATCCGGGTGATAGCATGGTGCTCACGGCCGTCGGGAACTGAGATCCGTAGTTGTTTTTATGCACCAACCAGGAGTTACCCTTGTCGGCAGCTCCCCTCCGCTCTGCAGCATAGGGCCAGGCACAGAAGAAGCAAAGTTTATCATTCCTGATGGGTAATTATAAGGCGCAGTTGTGGGTGATAAGATTAGCACATGGGAGACAGATATCCAGGTTTGCTGGGTGGCTGATAATTGTGACCATTTATTGAACATACATGCTCATTCCGTACGCGCCAGGCTCCATTCTAACTTTACCTGGATGATCTCAGCCGATCTTCACAGCGACCCTGGAGATAGATACAGTTATTACCCTCACTTTACAGGTGGGGAAACTGAGGCCCAGAAAGGTGAAGAATTTCCCAAAGCCTGTCAGCTAGAGAGAGCAGAACTTGACTCAAACTCCAGGCTTCCGACTGCGGAACCTTTCCCACCCTAAGTGGCCTCATTCTCACACGCCTTGTTCTGTTTCCCAGTGCCCAGCCTCACCCCGAGTGAGGCTAAAATTGTTGCCATTCACTGATTTGTTCCTTCAACACCCATCCGGCTTCTTCTGGGTCAGCCTCGGTTTCTGTACCATAACAAATGTCTCATGACTATTTGTCAAATAAATCAGTCAATGAATGAATGTCCCCACTCCCCAGGGGTCAGCATTTACTCGGACCCCATACAGACACAGTCCTATGTGGTGGGAACCCCGGACCCAGCCAATGGGAGGGTGGATTGAATTCATGACAAGGGGAAGGAGAGGGACGGACGCTAGGCAGAGGGAAGAGTAAGACAAGGCAGGACAGAGCTGTGGGAGGAGGTGACACTGAGTCAGGGCTGGGAGGTGACCACAGTGGCATTCCAGAAGAGCATCGGGCTGTGTGAGGAGGGAGGTGGATTGGAAGGGTAGGGCGGGAGGCAGGTAACCTTGACCAGAGAAGAGCTGGGTTTGAACTGTGGCTGAGTCTGTGGGGGCCAAGAGGAAACAGAAGCATCCAGACTTGCTACTGATGAGTGGGTGAGAGGACAGGGGCTCCAGAATGATCTTCTGTCTATCTCACTTAGGTCCAGGACAACAACGACATCACATATGCAGACCTGAACCTGCCCAAGAGGAAGAAGTCTGCCCCCCGGGCTGCTGAGTCCAACAACCACACGGAATACGCCAGCATCCAGGCCGTCCGGCCGCCCGCGCCTGAAGACACCCTTACCTATGCCGACCTGGATATGGTCCACCTCAACCGGGCCCCCAAGCAGCCAGCCCCAAAGCCCGAGCCATCTCACTCGGAGTATGCCAGCGTTCAGGTCCAGAGGAAGTGAACAGGGCCTAGGTCGTCTCTGGGTCTGTGCCCATGAGCCTGCCTGTCCCCCGTGGGACGGGCAGCTCAGTTCCCGGAGGGCCAGGGTGGCGCAGGTCTTGGGACCCAAGGATGAGGCTGGATCTTGGCTCCCCGACCCGCTTGGCTCTCCAGCATTTCCAGGGTGGCCACAGCCTCCCACATTGTCACATGGAAGCTAATGCTGCCAGACCGGCCAGGGAACCCACCTGGGACCTGGCCAGAGCTGCCAGGGGTCCAAGAACTCTCATGCGTCTCTCCATCAACCATGGGTCTTGACGACTCTTGACAGCCTCCTTGATCTTCCAAGGTGAGGAGGGAGAAAATCCCCACCTGCTCCTCCCACCACCACCACCACCACCACCATCCAACGGGAGCTCTGGGAAAAGTTCTGCTTAGATTAAACTGCCCCATCCATGGAGAAGCTTAAACAAAACAAAATAAAAAAAAGCGCTGGGACTGCATCCTGAGAGTCAGTGAGGCTGCTGCCAACAGCCCTGGCCTCCCGCATCCCTGGACTGACAAGTCACAAGCCCTGGGGAGGAGAGAACCCTCCAGGGAGTCCTCCACCACCGAGGACTGAGTGCCGGACCCCCCTCCTCGTGCCCTCCGAGACTCCTCGAGGGCCCAGCATCCTGACGTGACACTCCATGTGGACCCGCCTCGCCTTTCCAGACCTGAGCTTGCTTCCTCCAGCTAGCACTAACTCAGCAACATCTCGCTGTGGACGCCTGTAAATTATTGATACATGTGAAACGTGCAATCTTGAAACTGAGGTGTAAGAAAATTTGATCTGTGGTGTTTTGTTTGTTTTTTTCTTAAAACAACGGCAGCATTATCTTGGCTCTTTGTCATGTGTTGAAGTCCATGGTCGGGTCTTGTGCCGTCTAAGGTTTAGCAGTTGGTTCCCTGGAGGGAAGATGCTACAGCAGAAAGCGAGGTCCTCATGTCCCAGAGCTCTGAGGATAGGGACGAAGACTCCAGCTCGGCTGCTCCGTGGAGATGCTCAGCCTTCTCTCCAGGACGAAATTGGCCACGTTCTCGGGCGAGCCACGTGGCTGGTACTACTGCCTTCCTGCCCCCGCGTGGTAAGTCTGAACCTGCCAGTGCTTCTCCAGGCTGCCTCCTCGCCCTGCGGTCTTGTCGAGACCAAATGCCTCAGTCTGCTCTCTTGGAAAGAGGGGAACCATTCCTCATTAGCACTTTAGGGCCACGCAGGGTAGGAAGCTGTGCCTGGCTTTCCCCCCACACACCCTTTTAGTGACCTTCCTTCACTCCAGCTCTCTGATTTCTGCTCTCAAACCCTGTGGGATCAAACTGGAATAAATCCAAGGCCGGCAGCTGGGCAGCTGTGAGGCCAGGATTGACCCCTTTCTGTCCCTCTGTCTCAGGAGGTTGGGCAGAAGCTGTGACCCATGGTCCTCTGACCCCCACCCTTCCAAGGCAGTGTGGGGGCCTGGCTGGCCCGGGGCCAGCAGCAGCTGCACACTGTTTGGTTGTCACATGTAGCTGATCCGCTCTTAGCGCTGAGACACTCGTCTTCCCCGCCCCCGCCCCGGGCCAGAGGTTGGGTGCCCGAGGGATTGCTGCTCAGGCCACCAGAGCAAGAGAGAAACTGACCCCTCCTGCCTGGCAGCATGGCCTACAGGTGGACCCGGCTCTCGGGGACGGTGACGGGGTGTTTTACATGACGGCATCCAGGAGTGAGCTGAGCCAACAGGCCATGTGGGCAGCTTTGGCTCAACGAGCTGGAGTTTTTCTGTGGCATCTGGGAGCACAGTAGCTCAGCCACCTGGCTCAGACCATTTCCAAATTCCAAAAGGTTGGCTTGTCAACCTGTGTCTCCCCGTCTTCTGCCCGGAGAGAACGCACACACACGCGCACACACTCACACAGAATCTTGAAAGGATGTTTTCTTGGTGCCATTTTAATTTAATTTTATTTTGACGTTCGGAAGGGGAGTAAGGGAGTGAGTCCAAGGAAGCCGTGTAGTTTGAGCTGCAGACCGGCAGCCTGGAGATTCTGATACCTTGTGTATCGAACCCCAGGAAAAGGAAGAGGTCGGAGCGACAGTGCGGAAGGAGCGTGGTTTCGGGTTTATTTTAAGACTGCTGGGAAGGAAACAGGCCCCATTTTGTATATAGTTGCAACTTAAACTTTTTGGCTTGCAAAATATTTTTGTAATAAAGATTTCTGGGTAACAATGACTCCTCTGAGTGTTGAGTGTCCTTGTCTCTCTGCGTGTGTCCCCTTGTCCCCAGGAGCCTGGGAGAGGCTCGCATGTGCCTAGGGCTGGGCAACGATCATGGCATTTGGTCCTCTCTCTTGGGTTTGTTTGTTTTTTCAAATTATTTTTCTTTGTTGAATTTTTTTTAGAGAGCAAGGAAGAGGGAGAGAGATGGAAACATCGATGAGAGAGAACATAGACTGGCCGCCTCCTGCATGCCCCCCACTGGAGATTTGGCCCACAACCTGGGCATGTGCCCTGACTGGGAATCGAACTGGCGACCTCTTGGTGCATGGGTCGACGCTCAACCACTGAGCCACACCGGCCAGGTTCTCTCTTGGGTTTTAAATAGACACAAAGACTGTTTCCCTGGCTCAGAGGGAGTCGGGGGAGGTTGTGCCCAGGACACCTGCATAAGCAGAATTCCAACAGACAACTGAGTCTGAATCCGGCGCTGCTACTTCAGAGCTGCAGGAATTCAAACCACTCATCTCCCCGCGACAGGCCCGTCCTCAGCACGGTGGGGACAGTACCAACTGCAACCAGGTTACTCTGGGGATCAGAAGGGTCATGGGGCACCAAGCCCTATGCTTGGGACATGCAGACCTTCACTACACATTGGGTCTTTTCTCCCCCCTCTAAACATTGCACACTGGGGTCTGGTCACCCCTCACCACCCGTGGGATCTTGGTCAAGCAGAACCTCGCTTTCCTCCTCTACCGAATGCAGAAACCTAATGCTTGTCCTAGAATATCCTTGCCGGATGACTCCTGTCACATGCTAGTATATAGTAGGTGCTCAAAACATAGCTTCCTTACCTTCCCTCCACTAGTATATTACTAACATTAATGGCAATTATGTCATATTCAGTGCTTACTGTGTGTTGGCACTTTTCATTGATTAGCTCTTCTAAACCTCACAACTCCAGGTAGGTAATATTACTGACCTCCTTTTATAAACAAGACACAGAGAGGTCACGTAACTTGTACAGGGTCACACAGTCATGTTGCTGGAACTTATCTCCAGCTTTCTGACTTCAGAGCCCAACTTCTAACCTCTGAGCTAACAGCAGCACTTCATGTGTTGTCACTGACTGCAGCATGGTGAGTAGTATGCCAAGTGCTTTACAGTTATTAAATCGTTTAACCCCCAACCACCTTGTGCGGTAGGAACTCCTTATCCATATTTTACAGATGAAGACACCGAGGCACAGAGAAGTTAAGCCATTTCCCCAATGTCCCATTAGCAGAGCCGGGGTTTGAACTGAGGAGTCTGGCTCTTCCCCACCACATTGCACTGCCTCATTTAATTCCCAGCACTATCAGCAATGCGTATGCCCATTTTGCAGAGCAGGAAAGTTGAGGCTCAGGGCATGCATGTGACCTGGCCAATCTCACACGAAGAATATTTAGTTGAGCTGGAACTTGGACTCAGATCCATCAGAGCATGCGGGACCATCCCTGAGCCCTTGGCCTGCTCCATATGAACAGGGACCACCTGGGGCGAAGAGCCTCCTGCAGGGCTCAGAGGTCGTGGGCCTCCGGCCAGCACCTTGGCTGTGATGGAGAACTTGGCTCTCTGTGAAATGTGTGCTGCTTGGGGATGCGCTGTTCGGGAACACATCCTGGCTGAGTGGGCGGGGAAACGCCTTCTGTTTCCAAGGAAGGTGGGGGATGAAGACTGTGTCCAGGCAAGGAGACGTGGGGAATGAATTTCATGCTGCACTTGAAATCTGCAGGGCTGCAGGAACCAAGGGACCCTCTTCCTGCCCGCCTGGAAATCGGTCAGGCATTTGGCATTTATCAGAGGATCAGAAGCCCCACTCTCTGAGGACCCAGAGGCCCCGCCCACTTCACTTGACAATCAGAAAAATCTCTGCCCCTCTCAAGATTCAAATGCTAGACTGTAAAAGCCCCTGTGTCTTCTAGCATATTCCCACCAGTTAAATTTGGATCAAGTTGGTTTATTTTCATTTTTACATAAGCACTTACTATGTATCAACAGTCTCTTAAATTCTATATAAATATTAACTTATTTAATATCAGTTCACGCCATCCTCTTAACAAACCTATAATGTAGACACTATGATTATCCCATTTACTAGAGAAATTAAAGCACAGAGATATTATGTATCTTGTTCAAGGGCCGCCACCCAGGAGGTGATATAGCTGTGGGTGTGGGTGGGCATTGGATGGGCAGAGAGGGGTCTGGGGGTTGCTGGAGGTACAGTGGGGACCTCAGATATTATTGGGGTGCACTGAGCTCTACAAGGAGCCAGAAAACACCACATGGTCTCAGCCCCAAAGATAAGATCATCAGAGCAGTCCCGGTCACTTGTCAGCAGATGTACCCTTGGGCTTCCCCAAGGCTTGACCTACCACCACTGGGGTCCCCACCGAGCCCCTCCCTTAACCATGGCACTGTGCTTGACCAGGGTCCGGATTCGTTTTCTGAATGCAGGATTATGAAATTGCAAATGCTTTCTAAAAACACGTGCTCCAGATGTCCAAAAAACAGGCAAAACCTTGGTCCGAGGTCAGAGGGGAGCTATCCTTGGAGTGAACAGAGATGGGAAAACCGAAGGGGCCCTCTGGGCGATGGCATGTTCTGTGTCTCCATCTGAGTGGTGGCTGCGTGGGGCCTGCAGATGTACGAACCCTTCAGAGCAGCCTGGCCGTGTCTGCATCCCCTGTGTGAGTTCTGCCTCAAAGTTTCAAAGAGACTGGTGCGCCCCCCAGCAGTCAGCCCCCAACTGTGACGCCTGCCCCAGCCTGACAGTTTCTTAAAGATGGTGTCAAGGCTTTGTGTTTGGTCCCCAAGCCCAGCCCAGGGCCTGGCTCCCGTGAGGGGCTCAGGGAGGGTTGCTGGGTCCATGTGAAAGATAGCATCCCAGTGACCAAACTAGTACATGAAACCAGGAAAGAAAAAGTGCCAAGCTGGACCTGAAGACCAAGGCTGGACGAGGATAAAGCTTTATCTGTCATCTCTTCATCTATGGAGACTCCCTTCGTTACTCTCCCCGCTCACCTCACCCCTCTGCTCCCCCAGGGTTACAGAGACGCTGCACACAGTCCTTGCCCCATGACCTTGGGCGAGCAGCTTCGCCTCTGAGCCTTGCTTTGGTCACCTGAGTAATGGACAGCAGATGTCTTCACCTCAGGGGCTTCTCTTGAAGGTTAAATAGAATCTGGATCGAAGAAAACCCTTTGCAACAGAGAGGCAGACAGCAACACCTCACACACATATCCACACACACTCACATTCACACCCACATAGCCACACACTCCACATGCACTCACACACACAGCCACACACCCCACTACACTCACCCACACACACAGCCACACACCCCACTACACTCACTCACACACACAGCCACACACCCCACTACACTCACCCACACACACAGTCACATACCCCACATGCACTCACACACACAGTCACACACCCCACATGCACTCACACACACACAGTCACACACCCCACATGCACTCACACACACACAGCCACACACCCCACATGCACTCACCCACACACACAGTCACATACCCCACATGCACTCACACACACACAGTCACACACCCCACATGCACTCACACACACACAGCCACACACCCCACATGCACTCACCCACACACACAGTCACACACCCCACATGCACTCACCCACACACACAGTCACACACCCCACATGCACTCACCCACACACACACATACCCCACATGCACTCACACACACAGCCACACACCCTACATGCACTCACACACACACAGCCACACACCCCACATGCACTCACACACACACAGTCACACACCCCACATGCACTCACACACACACAGTCACACACCCCACTACACTCACCCACACACACAGTCACATACCCCACATGCACTCACACACACAGCCACACACCCCACATACACTCTCACACACACATAGCCACATGCCCTATATATACTGATCTACAGTCACACACCCCACATACACTCACATCCCCACACTCACACATTCACACCCCATACTTGCATACATTCACACACCATCATACACATAATCACACCCCCACACTCACACATTCGCACGTATACACACATAGACATTCACACACACACACCAAGGCCAGGTTCTCAGAGGAGCTCAACAATGATGGATCTCCTCTCCCAGCTGAAGTCATTTTATCAAGTCCCTCCCTCCCTCGCTGTCCTAGGCTCCCTCTTGCCAACTTCGGAGAATACAACACCCCAACCCGATTTTCAGGCTCATCTTTTACCCCACTGGACCTTTTCAAGGACACTTCCTGCTCTTCCCCAACCCAGGCTGGACTCTGGCCAGGCTACTCTGCCTGTCCCATCAAATGCCAGGTGGACCCACCAGTGACTGCCCTGGCCTCGCAGAGAGTCACTCTGAAGTGACTTACTTGGTGCCTCCCCAACCTTGACCCTCCCAACACCGGCCGGACCTTCCCTTCCTACCTTTAGGATCAGGCCCCTGGGGCAGAGGGACGGAAGACCACCATGTGCCAGACAGGATCCGAGCACTTGAATTCTTTATTCCACTAAACCTTTACATCCTTTGGATGTTCAGGGGTGCTATGGTGTCTATTTCACAGATAAGAAAACTGGGGCTCAGAACCGTAAAGAGATAAGCTCAAGATCACTCATTCAACCAATATTTATATCTCAAGCTCCCACTGTGAACCTGGTCCTGTGCAAAAATTCTGAGGCTACAATGTTGACAAAAGATGGGCCACCCCCTGTAACCTCCTGGGCCGTGGGGAGCCAGAGCGTCGGGAATCCCAATACGTGCAGCAGGGCTGCTAGGACGAAGCTGGCGGCGTGTGATCTTCCGGAAGCTGTAAAACATGATACATACAACTACGAAATGAACACCTTAATGAGGGAGCCAGCAGGAGGGGACAGCTGATTCCAAGAGTAAATGGGTGTTTACAGACTGTGGAAACAGGAATGCGG